TGTGTTGTCTCCAAGGTTTGGCAAGTAAAAAATTATTAGATGCTTCTGTTGTTTATTCATTTATTTGTATCGTATTCATTACACTTATATTTTAGGTAATTGGAATTTTCTTTTTATGGAAAAGTCATGCAGTTAAGTTCTTTTGTAGTTATTAAGTAATTGGTGAACATGAATATATAATTTCATTTGCAAAAGGCTGTCATTACATTCAATCTTATCAAATGAAGATCATAGATCAAGATAATTTTGATTATTGTTAGAGGTTATTAAATCAATACAATGATTTTTTTCATAAGTGTATGATCATGGAGTTAAAAAGTAGAAAAAAGCGTTTTTCCATTTCATTGCAAAAAGCAGTTCAGTAAAAAGTAATACAGTGAATTCAATATAATTTAAATCCAGTTTTTAATATTACTTGGAACAGATCTTGTGTGTTAGGCTTGGGTGCATATACACAACATTTTCTGTTTATCTAAATTTGTGTTTTGGTGAATAGAATTGTGTTTGTTATTTGTACTGTTGAGGTAATTATGCATTAGTTAGCTCTTAAAATGTATACAAGGCTTGCCATACATACAAGATTTGATCAGAATGACTTGGAAATACCATAATTGGTCTTTGCAATGTGTGGCTAATGTCTTGAACTTACAGAGTTAGAGAATAGTTTGCTGAATTTGCAAGTTTTCACTAGTCTCAAGCCCTGTTTATGTTAAGCACGTAATGTTTAAGGCCAACAAATAACTTGGTGTTGTTTTTGTTAAGCCGCACTCTCTTTACCCTTCCCACATGCTTCTTCCAGGCGGAGGGCCAGGTAATATCACCACTGAGATTTTTGTTCTGTCCTTAGTCTTGTCCTTGTTTTTTGGGCTTTGTTTTCGTCTTTTTTTTTCTCTCTCTCTCTCTTTTCTTTCTTTTTGGTTATATTTTTTTTTCTGTTTATTCTTATTCTTATTATTATTTTTTTTTCTCCTTCTTCCTCCCTCCATGTGTCTCCCTTCCCCCCCTCTCCCTCTCCCTCTCCCTCTCCCTCTCCCTCTCCCTCTCCCTCTCCCTCTCTCCTTCCACTTCCTCTTCTACATCTTCATCCACCTCTTCTTCCACTACATCATCATTATTCCTTTTCTCCTTTTTTTTGTTTTTCCTTTTTCCTTTCTCAGGCAAACGTCTTGTGCTATCATTATTATTTGTTTCTCATTGTCTTTGTGTAAATTATCAAAAAGGTCTGTTGTGAGAAAGATATCTTATCTGTATTGTTTGCAATTTTTCTTTTATTAGTGTAGTATGGCTTCATTCTTACACTAGATTTTTGTAGAGCTTTTTTGCTCTTGCACTTTAGATATTTCTTGTAATTTAAAAGTTATATGAACAGCATGAACTAGTCATATACTTTGTTGGTTGTAGAAAAGCAGTCTGACCCTTCTCCACACTGTACTCACTTTTGATCTCAGAACATAGCTTTGTTTTCACAATAATTGGTCATATTTTGGGAGATCGTTGGGTAGTGATAGATGAAGTAATAGTTTCAAGATAGGAAAGGTCATGAAAGTGAGTTGGGTCCTTGCCTTCGGAAGTGTAATGAGTATTTATAGGTCTTAGTGGAAGAGAAGTAATTTAGTATTGTTATCAGGCAATGCTAAATGGCAGTCTGTGGCTTAAGAGGAAAGTGAAGCAAGGATTTGTTATTTGTGTTTTTGAAAAAATGGGCAGAGAATCTGTCTTCCTCCTCAGCGGTTTAACATTTCTATATGTAGAAAATGATAATGAACTGATTCATTCTAGAAATATAAAAGCAAATGTATTCTTAAATGTAGTATAATATGTGTTACTTGTGTGGGAGTTTTTATACGGAAAAATATCAACGTGAAAATACCACATAATGAATAATTATTATTTCCTAGGGATTTTAAGAAATGTCAAGAAACTTGTCTAAAAGACTTTATCTGAAGTAGAGTTTAATGGAAGTAGAATTTTTTACCATCCTAGGATTAGGTCAAACAGGAGGAGAGGGAAATTTTTACACAGCAGACGTACCGTGAAAAAGCGAAATCATCCTTGAATAAGTACATTTTACCATTCGGATGGCAACGTATACATAAGATGTCCTCTTGGGAGTAACTTGGAGGATGAAAAGCTTTACCCACTGCTGTCACAAGGTAGAAAGTCGATGAACCTCATGCTGGTTTCAAGTGTCTTTGGAGCATCGGTAAATATGGATGCAGCGTCTGAGTGTTTATGTTGTCTTTAGCGAGTTGTAAGTACTAGCATAGTTGTATCTTAGTTTTCATGTTATTGCTAGATATGTATGTGAAGCAGAGTTTCGAGTAGATCAGGATGAAAAAATAGAAAGTTTTGAGAGGGATTGATTGATAAATTGAGTTATTTGGATTTTAGTGAAGTATATATTTTGATATTTCATGTGAAGTTGGTCTTTCTTAGAAAGTATTACTGTGAATCTATTATTGTTTTTTGATATATGCTTTGAGATTAATAGTGACTGCTCTTACATTACCATATGTTCAATTCATTAAGTCATCATTTTCATTCTTATTATAATATTTTTATTTTATTGCTGTTAGTCTTATTTTTAGTTCTATCATCACTATCACCGTTACATAATCCCATTACATCATCAGCATTGTCATGATCAGTCATCATCATCAATCATTAAGCATCATCATCATCTTTATATTCATATACATATACATATACATATACATATACATATACATATACATATACATATATATATATATATATATATATATATATATATATATATATATATATATATATTCATATTCATAGTTATTATTAATATCATCACCAACATCAGTCATCAGCAGTCATCAATCATCATCTTTATCAGCGATGAAGTTATCATCATCAGTCATCATTATCTTTATTAGCGATGAAGTTATCATCATCAGTCATCACCATCTCTATCATCATTGTCAGTCATCACTGTCATCAGCGTTATCATCATAAGTCATCACCATCATTAGCATTATCATCATTATCACCACCACCACCTCTACCTCTCCCTTTACCTCTCGATTGTCATCATCTTCAAATCCTCCTTATTATGATCATTATCATCACTTTCATAATCAATGTACAGCCACTCAAACCCAAATTACACCCTTATGTCTCCCAGTGGTTTGAGGAGAAGACGCAGCAGATCGAGAACCTGGACGCCCAGCTGCGGAAACTCCACGCGGCAATGGAGGGGCTGGTGGCCTACCGACGGGAGCTCGCCACCAGCACAGCCTCCTTCGCCAAGTCGGCTGCCGTCCTGAGCAGCGTGGAGGAGCACTCCGCCCTGAGCCGAGCTCTGCACCAGCTGGCCGAGTCCACGGAGAGGACGCATACCATTCATCACGCTCAGGTTGGCGAGAGGATAGGGAGATGAAATAGGCAGATGAGATGGGATGTGCAGGAAGATGAGATAGGCAGATGAAATGAGATAGGCAGATGAAATGAGATAGGCAGATGAAATGAGATAGGCAGATGAGATAAGATATGCAGATGAGATGAGATATGCAGGGAAATGAGATATGTAGCTTTGTATTTTCACAGTAGGAGAGAGGAAATTTTCAGATGTCCTGTTAATTTGTTGTTTGGGTTTTATTTGTTAAATGGTAAATCAAGTGAATTTGTAAATTGTTCTTATTGTATCGAGGAGTTTAGGGGGCAGGTGATTGCATAATTTTCACATTGCCTTTTTTGTTTTTTTCTCTAAGAGGAGCTTTTTAAGATTTTGTATATGCATACATGACCCTGCTCTTTCTTTACTGTAGCATTAAAAAGAAAAATAGAAAAGGAACTAAAAATTAAAATGATAAGAATTACAATAATGCATATCTATTCTTGTGAGAGTACAGATTTTTTTCTGATGTTTATGATGCACATGTTTTAATGTTTAATATTTTTTTTACTTTAAAGACATCTTTTTCTTCACAGGCTGATGCGGACTTCTACCATTTGAGTGAGACAACCAAAGACTACATTCATCTCATTGGGGCTGTGAAGGTATGATTTTGTATTCATGGTAATACTTTCGATTTTAGAGGGAAAGTTCTTGGAGATTTCAGGTCTATATCATTATTGTTGATTTGTATATACCGTCAAAGTAAGGAGGAAGATGATGGTGATTAGTCACCATTAAGAATAGATGTTTCAAGAGATCACAGCATGGGTTGCATAAGCATGTGAAAGCTAAATATTTTCTTCCAAGAAGAGTGTGTTACTTACCTTGTGGAATGTAGGTGCATGTCAAGAAAAAAAAGAAAGAAAAAAAAGTACACTTTATGTTTATGTATATATATGTATATGTATATATGTATGGATATACATATATACATATCTATACACACAGATATGCATATATATACACACACACATATATACATATATATACATATATATACATATATATACATATATATACATATATATACTTATATATACATATATATACATATATATACACAGACATACATACAGACATACATACAGACATACATACAGACATACATACATATACATACATACACCACATGTAAAATGGAGTATAGAACTGTGTGTGAATACAGTATAGAATATTTACACTTATCATTACATACAATATTATCCTTAATTGGAACCACCTACTTTCAGGATGTATTCCATGAACGCGTCAAGACATTCCAGACCTGGCAGCATGCACAGACAATGCTGGCCAAGAAGCGAGAAGCAAAGGCCAAGGCGGAGCTGGCTGGCCGGATGGACAAGGTTCAGCAGGCCCAGGACGAGGTGGCTGAAGTGAGTAGCAACGGCAGGTTTCACAGGCTGTGGTCTGGGCTTTGTGGAATTCCTTTTCATTTTTGAGGGTTGAGGAGGATTGCCATGATGACGGGACGTTTGTTTAAAACTGAGGAGTGATTTGTTTATTGACTGCTTTGTTGCAGAGGTCTAGGAAGTATTATAGGGTTTTGTATGATGTTATGTTGAGTTTAGAATCAGGAAAAATTGGGGCTGGTTATGAATGACAAATTATAGGAATATCTATTGAAGTGGAAGTTGCTTCACAGAGATGTGCATGGGAATCATGAGTCCTTTGAGGATGGGGGAAAAATCGTAAAAATAAAAAATGTTTAGGTAGATATTAATTTGTAGCACTAAGGGACCATCTGGCAATAAATTTATATCTATGTTTTTTTTGCTAATAACAAGATAACATTTAGACTTTTTTTTTTTTTTTTAACTGATTGTGGATCTTACAGTTGCTCTTTTGAGTTATAGTTATTCCCAGGATGAGGTCATTGCCCTAATCTGGAAGCTGGAAGTTTACATTAAATTTTGTTCAAAAAGGCATTAAAATAATAGCATTAAAAAACAAACAGACTAGCCTCTGCCACCAGACAATCATGTTTTGATTTTGTAATTTCTTTTTAGGCGTTTAGGTGTATGGTTTCCAAGTAAGGCAGAGAATTGCCTTTGTTTTTCTTATTTTTTTTTCTTTCAAAATAAGATTTGAAAACAACCGTTTAGTTGTGCTTGAAGGGTCTCTCCATTGAAAGAAAGGGCTATGAAATCGAGTCAACTGTGCTAGAATTATGCATTCCCTTTGCTTCAATAGAAATGATTTTGAGAAAAGTTGATTAGAAGTTTTGTAATTTTTGTTTAGTTTTCCTATTATCTTTTATTTTACATTACTAGCGTTATATATGAAAAGAAAGCTCAAGATGTGTTCCATGCAATGAAACTTGTTGCAGTCTTATCAGTTGAAAAAGAGCCATTTCTGAGTTCCTCAGGTATTATTACTAGATATATGTAATCATTTGGTATAAAAATGATACATTAGTGACAGTCATATGGGAAGTGAGTGGAAATCTTGAATGCCCCTTGTCACCTCATTAAGGAAATGTGTTTTAGAACTTTTGCATATAGGGGATTTTTCCATGCATGCATATATATGAAACTGCCCTGAACTCAATTTTGACCATGGGAGCCCATACCTGCCTCCTGAAATAACCCTTTAAATAGTTGTAATTAGAATTGATTTTGTTACACCTTTTTTAACTGTTTCATTATTCCTTTCAGTGGGAGGCAAAGGTGGAGAGAAGCCAGGAGGAGTTTGACCGCATCTCTCGAGCCATCAAGAAGGAGATGGAGCAGTTTGATATTGTGAGAGTGAAGGATTTCAAAGACATGTTAGTGAAGTACTTGGAAGCTCTCATGACCTCCCAGCAGCAAGTGAGTAAATGTGTTCTGTTCGTGTCAACACTATTTTGGGGGCCAGACTTTTTATTTACTTTAGTGTGTTTGATTTACTTCCAATTTCATACCTTTTTATCTGTAATTTCTAACTGAGTACTTCCAAATATGTGTGTGTGGTTTGATAGATAACTCCCATCACTTCTGCAAATTGTGTTTTGTTGCAGACAAAGAAAGTTTTTCTCAATAGTAATTAATTATTGATTGTGTTGTACGGAACCTTGAGATTACCATTTTATTCATTCTTTCCAGATAATCAAAGTGTGGGAGACATTCCTCCCCGAAGCAAGGGCTATTTCTTAGAGGATCTGCCGATTGCCTTGAGTTAAAGAAGTTGCTGCTGTAAGTTGCTGAAGAGTGGAAGTTATTAGCAATGAAGGATTTTCACTTTCCAATTTATGCATACTTCTTTCTTTTTTTTTTCTTTTAGCACTAGCTGATATGTCTGAGTCTTTTTATTTTTTGTTTTTATTTTTTTTCTCGTTTTTATATGTATACAGCCAGTTCCCGGTGATTCAAATTCTTGACCATTCCTCGAAATTCTTTTTTTTGGTTTTTGTGAATGTTTGAAGACGACAAAATGCATCTTTATTGCTTCAAATGATTATAATGCAGCCATTCCTAGATGTTTATGAAAGATTTGCTTGTTGATATTTTAAGATATTTGGAACATAATATATTTTTTCTCTCTCCATTTAAAATGTTAATGGAAAAGTGAAACTAGCATTAATCCAGAATATCAGGTATGAGTGCTTTAAAAGATATCTTGTTTTTGTAGAACAATATATATATATGTATTTCCTTGCAAAAGATGTATGATTCTTCATTCTTGTAGAGCTTCAGATAGATTTTTTTTTTTTTTTTTTTTTACCCACAGACTACCCATTCATTAAAAAAAAAAATGTTTACAATAACGTCCACTTTAACCTTACTACTGCAAGATGGTCTGGTATTGGAAATCATGAATGGTCATCTAATTATTTCAGTGAGGGGGTGAAAGTTGATGAAAGCGTGGTGTGTGTCTGGGCTAGTTTGTTATTTATTTGTTCAGTTTTGAATGAAGAAAAAGATCTGAGTATGAACACATTATTGGTGTTGAAAGTTGAAATGTTGATCCAGCTAATGAAGAGCTTACATTGCTACGTGGTAATTAAGTGCAGTTAATTAGATGTGCTCGTATTTGTGGTATTTTCTTTTTTTCTTTTTTTTTTTTTATTTACATAATCCACTTTTTGATGTATTTTTTCCAGAATGAAAAGAAAAAAAAAAACATTATTGTATTGTATCTCATAGGGTGCACTTTAGGATGTTTGTGAATAAGTTAAGATTAATTTTTTTTTTTTTTTTTTTCAAGAGGGGGGGAGGGGGATGTATTTTTCAGCATTTTATTGCTCCTAAGCTTGTTTTGCGTCCGGAAAAAGATGGAGGGAAATTTTGATTTACTTCAGCTACCCCTTTTCACGTTAGATTAAGGCGTATTTTGATTCTTTGGGATTATTTTGTTATATTTGTAAAACTTCCGAGTTTGTATTTGCTAAAACCTCATGCCATTCATTCTACGTTTTTTGAATGCTCGGGTTTGTACTTTATATTTTGTCATTAGAAAAGTAAAATCTGTGCTGAAATTGATTGTACAGTATATATATGTATATGATTGATCACTTGAAAAATTATTTAAGGTGATTTGTGTTTGATTTCCCCTGAAGTTTCATATGTGAATATTCAAAAATGGCAATTATACTCTCATTTTCCTTACAGTTTCTACCTTAAAAAGAAAAAAAAAACATTAAATGGTTATACCTAACATAGTCTTGTTTCTTATACATTTTAAGCATGATCATTAACCTCGTACTTAAGAAGATGAATGCTGAAAAGTCTTAAGAATGTGGACATTCACTATCAACTGAATTTAGCTCTTAATCTGCTTTTATTTAAGGGTCATAAGATTACTTTTTGTGATACTACATTGGTTAATAACCTCGTGAAATGAAGAGATAGTATCTTTTTGGGGAAGATAGAGCATACATAATGCTAAGTCAATGTTCATAAAGTGTGTCTGCAGAGAGTCTAGACATGCTTTTCATTATTATTGTGAATGAATGCATGTCATCTATTGCCTGAATATTTCAAAGCAAATATATTTCCCCAAAGACAATAAATGGTATTATATTCAGAATTCACCACTACCGTTTCCAGTGAACAATGGAGAACACTGCAGGTCTTAGGAATAGAACCAAAGTTTTTCAATTAGTGTAATATATTTTCTAGAGTGGTATAGAGTGACAGGAAGCCGGCCCCCCCTAAAAAAAGGAAAAGAAAGAAAATAAAAAAAAAGAAAGGAAGGCGAAGGAAGAAAATATATTTAATGGCGATGAGACCAACTTAGTAAAAGTCTACTTGAAAGGGATATTTCAAAATTACAGAATATAGGATGTTTTCCAAACACCTCCCCCCCCAATCCCTTGCCCGTTGTTGTTGTGGGGGGCTTAGGAGGCGGAGACTGGGACCCAATGATGGGGAACTCCTCAACCTTGGGACTCGGCCCTCAACTCAACTAATTTTGCATGGTCTTTTTTTTTCCCTTCCCACTTTTCCTTTCTATCCCTTCACCAAACCCTTCTGCTATCCACCTCCTAAGGTGTGAGAGCCGTGCTGAAAGGATGAAAGGCTGACTTTGTGCCAGTCCTGAACGGCCTAAGGGAGCCATGGGCACGGTATTCCCCTGATTTAGTTATCTAGCCCTTACCCCTCAAGGGGACCCTGAGTGGTGGACTGTTTTTATCCCCAACATAATCCAGGCTTACCATGGCCAATAATGAAAATATATCCCCACTATTAGGGGCAATGAGGCCAAACATTGCCATTCCACAGCCAGATGCCCACTATGTGCCCAACCTGGCCATACCCGATCAAACTGCTCTGCACAATCACGTACATGTGCCAACTGTGGCGGCCCCCATAATGTATTTTATAGGGGCTGTCCCACCTACAAATTTGAATCTGAGGTAGCAACTCTCAGATTCAAACTCGGACTCACACTGCGTGAAGCCAGACAGGAAGCACGTCGACGTGGATTCTCTCTTACTCCTTACTCCAGTAATACTGCTCATTCTAACACTTCTCCTAAACCCACCCCTCCTACATCTAACTCCCCCACTTCTACCTCCTACCTTCCCCAGTCAAACTCTTTTGCCATCCTAAATCCAGACACTCCAATCTCTACTACAGATACTCCAATCACCACTACAACCCCAACACCTTCCCCTCTCCCTCCTCGCACTCCCCGTAACAGACAGAACAAACGTTCCATCCCCTCTTCCCCTACCACACAATCACCTCCACCATCCTTTGCCCCTACTCTTGAGACACCAGTCCTCTCTTCCCCCCCTCACAAGAAATCCTTTATCCCCCAAAACTCCCCAACCAACTCCTCAGAAGAAACTATTGAAAATATTCAAGATTACTTAATGCAAACTGACACTCAACCTACAACCCCTGCTCCTTCCACACTCCAAGTAACTGCTGATATCCATCCTCCTCCTAACGATATCCCCCCTACACCCTATCCTCCTACCCCCTCCCAACACAGCCCATCCCCCCCGACCCCGACCCCAACCCCGCCTACATTAACCCTCCCACCATCCCCTCTATCCCTTCCACTCCCTCCTGGATACACACGTGAATCCCTTATGTCACAAGTATCTCCTTCCTCAGACCCTCCATCTCCTAATACCCCTCCTGATAGAACACCAACTCCCACACCTCTCCCATCTCAAACCTCTCAGTCCTTATCCCAGCCTCTAGCTGCTTCCCCTTCAAATTCTCCAACACGTACTACAATCTATATCACTAAATCAACGAAAGTATAACTATCCTTCATTGGAATATTCGCGGTTTCCGCTCCCACAGACCTGACCTTCGTCATATCCTTTCCTCTTATAACCCATCTATTGTATGCCTTCAAGAAACCTTTCTTACACATCCTCCAATACCAATCCCCAATTATCATTTTATCATTTTGTCTCTTCCCCACATTCCCTTTGTCTCGTCTATACTTATCAATCAGAAAACACCTTATGTCACACCACCCTTTCAAACCAATGTCCCTTGCACAGTTATTCGTATCTTCCTTCATCGTTGGATCACAGTGATTTCAGTCTACTTCTCCCTTTCCCACCCCACTGACTTTGTTGCTTTTGAAAATTTCCTAACTTCAACCACCTTTCCTCATAGTGGGCGACTTTAACTGCCGCCACACTCTTTGGGGTGATTCTATTACCAACTCCCGAGGCCGATCTCTAGAGCGCTTCCTCTCCACAGCTGACATTACTATTCTAAATTCAGATCGCCCCACACACTTTGATACACGCACGCAATCTTTTTCATGCATTGACCTCTCTCTATGCTCCCCTTCTCTTCATATAGATTTCCACTGGTCAGTCTTAGACCACTTTCCCTATAGTGACCACTTTCCAGTTCTCCTTTCTCCTACTTCATACGTACCACTTCCTAACTCCCCACGCTGGTGCTTTGATAGAGCCGACTGGCATACTTTCATTTCACTCTCTGCTATTCATACCCCTCCATCCTCCCTCACCTCCATTTCAGAAATGATAGTGTTTCACAACTACAGTCTTAAGAGCTGCACATACAGCTATCCCTCGAACCTCAAGACCATAAACCTCTAAATGTGTTCCATGGTGGAATTCTGATTGCACTAAAGCACTTCGCTTAAAACGTGCAGCCTGGAACAGTTACCGCTACAAGAGAGGTACTCCAAATCAACTATCAGCCCTTATCTCCTTTAAAAGAGCATCTGCCTGTCTTCGTCGTACAATCCGGAATAGTAAAACAAATAGCTGGCGAAATTATGTTTCATCAATTACATCCTCTACATCTATCTCAAATGTATGGCGACGAATCCATAAACTATCAGGCAAACATCCCCCCCATCCTGCCCCCGTCCTCCATATTCGAGATACTCTCATTTCTGATCCTCTCCAAGTCGCTAATAAACTGGGTGATTATTTCAGCCAGGTCAGTAGTGGTTCTCACCTTTCTCCACACTTCTCTTCTATCAAGACCACCAGAGAACGTACCCCCCCCCAATCCCTTGCCCGTTGTTGTCGTGGGGGGGGGGGCTTAGGAGGCGGAGACTAGGACCCAATGATGGGGAACTCCCCAACCTTGGGACTCAGCCCTCGACTCAACTAATTATGCATGGTCTTTTTTTTCCCTTCCCACTTTTCCTTTCTATCCCTTCACCAAACCCTTCTGCTATCCACCTCCTAAGGTGTGAGAGCCGTGCTGAAAGGATGAAAGGCTGACTTTGTGCCAGTCCTGAACGGCCTAAGGGAGCCATGGGCACGGTATTCCCCTGATTTAGTTATCTAGCCCTTACCCCTCAAGGGGACCCTGAGTGGTGGACTGTTTTTATCCCCAACATAATCCAGGCTTACCATGGCCAATAATGAAAATATATCCCCACTATTAGGGGCAATGAGGCCAAACATTGCCATTCCACAGCCAGATGCCCACTATGTGCCCAACCTGGCCATACCCGATCAAACTGCTCTGCACAATCACGTACATGTGCCAACTGTGGCGGCCCCCATAATGTATTTTATAGGGGCTGTCCCACCTACAAATTTGAATCTGAGGTAGCAACTCTCAGATTCAAACTCGGACTCACACTGCGTGAAGCCAGACAGGAAGCACGTCGACGTGGATTCTCTCTTACTCCTTACTCCAGTAATACTGCTCATTCTAACACTTCTCCTAAACCCACCCCTCCTACATCTAACTCCCCCACTTCTACCTCCTACCTTCCCCAGTCAAACTCTTTTGCCATCCTAAATCCAGACACTCCAATCTCTACTACAGATACTCCAATCACCACTACAACCCCAACACCTTCCCCTCTCCCTCCTCGCACTCCCCGTAACAGACAGAACAAACGTTCCATCCCCTCTTCCCCTACCACACAATCACCTCCACCATCCTTTGCCCCTACTCTTGAGACACCAGTCCTCTCTTCCCCCCCTCACAAGAAATCCTTTATCCCCCAAAACTCCCCAACCAACTCCTCAGAAGAAACTATTGAAAATATTCAAGATTACTTAATGCAAACTGACACTCAACCTACAACCCCTGCTCCTTCCACACTCCAAGTAACTGCTGATATCCATCCTCCTCCTAACGATATCCCCCCTACACCCTATCCTCCTACCCCCTCCCAACACAGCCCATCCCCCCCGACCCCGACCCCAACCCCGCCTACATTAACCCTCCCACCATCCCCTCTATCCCTTCCACTCCCTCCTGGATACACACGTGAATCCCTTATGTCACAAGTATCTCCTTCCTCAGACCCTCCATCTCCTAATACCCCTCCTGATAGAACACCAACTCCCACACCTCTCCCATCTCAAACCTCTCAGTCCTTATCCCAGCCTCTAGCTGCTTCCCCTTCAAATTCTCCAACACGTACTACAATCTATATCACTAAATCAACGAAAGTATAACTATCCTTCATTGGAATATTCGCGGTTTCCGCTCCCACAGACCTGACCTTCGTCATATCCTTTCCTCTTATAACCCATCTATTGTATGCCTTCAAGAAACCTTTCTTACACATCCTCCAATACCAATCCCCAATTATCATTTTATCATTTTGTCTCTTC